TTCTCTGATTGGATTGTTACATTTGTGATTGACATGACATTGACCAATCAGATGAAAGGAAGAAAAATAGGGTCAAAATTCGTACTTGTAACTTGCAGGGGTTTTTTTTGGCTAAGTCCACACACAAATCTTTTTTTGCACACACACAAATTCTTTTTTACACATACAAAACTGATTTACAAGTACAAAATATTTATGACCACATTTTGAGCCCATACAAGGGGTCTAAGTTCTCATCAGTTAAATTTTAATTATCAACTGTAAAATTGGGATGCAACGTCATCATGACAGCTTTGATTGTCAGCTGCAGTCTCGACAAACTTCCACGTCTCTGCTCCGGGACTGCAGCTAGAACCATATCCACGGCTATCTGTTCCAAACTGACAGTGTTAGGTGTTCTACAATAAACGGGACTAACTGACAGAAGAACCTAAGGCATCCTGACTTTACTTTGGTAAGTTAAATTTGTGTTTTGAGCTAATCAATAAATTCATGCCTTTAGCAGTCAGCAAGGGAAAAAAAACAGTGTTTGGTAGCTTTGTAGTTTTTCTACTTTCTACTTCAGACATTAGCTCTGCTGCTCTGACTGCAGCAGGCAGCTGCTCAGTCACTACCTAATGCTATTGTTATTGTACTTTTATTATGAATAGTATACTGTAAGAGCAGTAGGCTGGACTCTTATGCAGAGTCAAGAGTAATAAGTGACGAGTAACACTATTCTTTTTGAAAGGACATAAAAAATACCTAATAGAACATAATATTTATATTCTGAGACCAAATCATGATATTTGATGTGTCAGGTTAAAATTGTTTAATGTTTTAAGAACAGGATGTTTTTCTGTTTTTTCCTGCAGGTGACCATAATTCAGAATCAGGACAAGAAACCTGTTCCTGGTTCATGTCATCTTTGCAACTTTCCTTTTAAAAAGCACCAACAGCACCAATGTAAAACATTATACTGTTGCGCCTTGAGGCGACTTTTGTTGTGATTTGGCGCTATATAAATAAAATTGAATTGAATTGAATTGAATTGGT